TCAACTCTGACAGCTCCATGTTCCGAGATCGCAGAAGATCACGAATCCGTGTCTTCTGTGACAATCAACCCAAAAATGAAGTCGAAAAGAGAAGTGAATTCGAAGACTGGGGAATACAACCAGGTAGCTACAGTATTTATACCCAAATCCAGTCTGAGTCATATCTACAACTAATGAGTCATAAGACTATGTACCGCATGGAACGCTGGTCATGGGTTGTACTAGAACCTTCCGGAGCATATGTCGCGCAGCCTCGAATCGATAGAGATAACCCCTGGAACCCCTAGCCCGGACCGTCTGATGCCGTGATCCGTGATAAGATAAGTCGTGCCAAGATAAGATAAGATCGTCGATGATAAGATGAAAAAGTGGTCGAACTATGACATTACCCCCTCTCTAGGGTCGATGTCCTCATCGACTAGGCCAATGGGCGTGAAGACGTTCTCGTAGGGGTCGAAGAGTTGTCGTTCGGGATATGGAAGGTGCTCGTCCCTGGGCTTGTAACGATGAATGAGATAGTCCCAGTGTCCAGCTTTGAGCGTTGGCAGGAGGCGAATGCGTGTGTCTGGATTTGATTGTTTCCTCTGCCAGTCTCTCAGGACGCCCTTCGCGTGGGTAAGGTGACGTGATGGTTCCCAGGTGTTCTCACTGTGCGGCCATCCCTTCCATTTGACCAAGTACTGTTTTCCTCGGCCGACTTTTCGTTCTTTCACGATTTCTTCGACTTCCCACTCCTCTGCTCCTCCGATCATCTTGGCTACGGGTCTCTTCTCTCGGCGATGGGGGGGTGGTTCATGATAAGGTGTCAATAGTGACTCGTTGAACACCGGGTGTCTTCGGTCCGTGTCCGGCAAATCCAGCTTCCATGCGGCCGCTCCAACCTTCTCCAGTATCTCGTATGGTCCCAATCTCTTGTCGCTCATCTTCTTTGATGGTCTATCCGTCTCGATATTTTCCCCTTCTATGTACACCTTCATCCCAACCTTCAACTCCGGAACTTCTTTTCTTTGTTTATCGTAGTATTTTTTCATTTTTTCTTTTGCTTTTTCCAATGCTGCTTTTGCTTCATCTTGTATTTCTTTGATTCTTTTTACAAATTCCTCCGCCGACTCGTTCCTTGATTCCATCCTTTGCTCCACTCCCTTCCATGGGTGATATCCGTGATTTGCATAGAATGGCGACATCTTGGTAGACGTGTTCATTTTGTCATTGTATGCGAACTCCGCCATTCCCAGCCACTCCGACCAATCCGTCTGATGGTAGTTGACGTAAATGCGGAGATAGTGTTCGATCTCCTGATTCATGCGTTCGGTTTGTCCATCCGTGATCGGGTGATATGCGGTCCCCGGGTTCATTTCCACACCCAACATCCGATTCGTCTCCTTCATGAAGCCCTTGATGTAACGCGAGTCCCTGTCGGTGATGATCTTGCGAGGGATCCCATGGTAGCGGAAGACTCGGTCCCTGGTTAACCGTGCCACTCCTTCGCTGCTGATGTCAGTACTAATTGGTTCGACATGGATCATTTTGGTGAAGGTGTCACACCACACATGGATTGCGTCATACCCATTACTGACCGGTAAGGGTCCGATTTGATCCATTGAGATGATTTCCCACGGTGCATTTGGGACTGCATGCGGGTGCAGAGTCCCCGTCCTTGCTCTCCTGGTCTTGGTCCGTTGGCACGCCTCGCACGTCTGGATGTACTTCCGAATCTGGTTTCCCATCCTTGGCCACCAGTAGTTCCTTTCCACCATCTCCTGCGTTTGGTTGATCCCAGCGTGTCCGACCAAAGGGGTGTCGTGGTGTAGTCCGATGATCTTGTCCCGCAACTCCTCGTCCCTTGGTACATAGAGCTTCCCATGATACGTGATAAGCCCCTCTTCCTTCTTCCATCCGACGAGTGACTTCTCCAAGGCCGCCTTGACGCTTCCATCAATTGATCGAATGGCCTTGATTTCATCGATTAGCTGCTGATCCTGTCCCTCGAATGTGACTTCTTGTGATCGGAAGAACTCGGGCTTCAGTAGCGTGACGTCCTTGTTGTCGTTCTTGCCCTGATCGTGATCTGCTCGTCGAGACAGGAGATCCGCCTTACGGTTGAGTGCGCCGGGTCGGTGTCATAAGGTGAAATCAAACTCCGCCAGCTCCGTGATCCATCGTGCTTGTCGTCGATTGAGCTTCTGCGGCTTTCGGAAGTACTCGAGATTCTGATGATCAGTGAAGATCTCGAATGTTTCCGTGGCTCCCAGGAGCAGCTGCCTCCATTCATCGAGTGATAACATGATCGCGAGCATTTCCTTGTCGTAGATTTCGTAATTTCGCTCGGTTTCGGTCAATGCGTGTGAAATAAATGCGATTGGGCGCCAAATGCCGTCTTGGTTTTGGCTCAAAACTGCTCGTGTTGCCCCTTCCGAAGCATCGGCTTCCAGACGATATTGGCCAGTGTCATTTGGCAGTGCTAGGACCGCATCCTCTGCGATTCTCTTCTTCAACCCATCAAATGCTGCCCGCTCATCTGCACCCCATGCCCATCCTGCCTTCCCTGTCAACCGTGTCAATGGTTTGGCAATCTCCGCATATCCCCGAACAAAGCGTCGATAGAAGTTGGTGAACCCTAGGAAGGCTTGTACTTGTTTGACGCTCTTTGGTTCTGGCCATTCCATTACGCCCTTGATCTTGACTGGGTCCATCCGCATCGAATTGTGTCCAATAATCACACCCAAATATTCGATTTCCGTGCGTTCGAACTCGCACTTTTCGGGTTTCAGGTACAGCTTGTGTTTTTGGAGCAGTTCGAGTACTCGTTTCGTGATCCGCCGATGTTCGTCCAAGTTCTCTGTGAAGATCAGTATATCATCAAGATAGACTACCACGTGGCCCTCGTTGATCAGTTCTCGGAGTATGTCATTCATCATGTTTTGGAAGGTTGCCGGGGAGTTTGTGAGACCGAAGAACATGACCAAGGGCTCGTACAGTCCGCGGTTCGTGCGGAACGCAGCCTTCCACTCGTCGCCCTCTTTGATCCGTACGTTATTGTATCCCCACCGGATGTCGAGCTTGGTGAAGAACTTTGCACCGCATAGATTATGGACCAGTTCAGAGATCAGCGGCAGCGGGTACCGATTTCGGATTGTCATTTCGTTCAGCTTCCGATAATCTTGGACGGGGCGTAGCGAGCCATCCTTCTTTTTGACAAAGAAGAACGCTGATGCCATGGGTGATTTGGAAGGCCTGATCCGTCCGCTGGCCAGGTTCTCTTGTAAGAACTCGTCGAGTTTGACCTGTTCGTTTCGTGATAACGGGTACACCTTGCAGTCCACTGCTTTGGAACCAGGTTTGAGCTCGATTGCATGGTCCCATGCCCGTCGGTCTGGCAGCGAGTCGAACGATTCCTTGGCGAATACTTTGACAAATTCCCGATATTGATCCGGAATCTTCCCCTCGGTCATTCTCTCCTTCTCTTTTTCCGCTTCTTCTGCGAATTTCTGCGCCGGTGTTTCCTTCAACCGTAGATCCACCTCCTTCCCAAAGTCGATCAACAGGATTGACTCTCCCTCTTCCAGATCCGGTGCACCTGCGTCCAGGTCAATCGCATCCATGTCGATCATTGCTTGATGCTCCTCGTGACCCCTCATGTGACACCGCTCTGGGCATCGACTGAACCTCATCGTCTGCTCCCGCCAATCCACCTCGGGGTTGTGTTCCGTCAGCCAATCAAGACCGATGAAGATCCGAGCTTTCCCTAAACACGTGAGAAGGAACGTGCGTGTCTCCACGTGAGGACCGATTCTCATCCTTAGGTCGACGTAATGCGTGATCCGACCGCTGATGTTCTCGGTGTTGTCGGCGTTACGAGCCACAATGGGTTGGGGAAGTTCTTGGATATCCAGCTTCTCTGCCCGCGCGTAGTCGGTATCAATGCAGCAGGTGCTACAGCCACTATCGAGTAGCGCCTTGACTCCGCGCGTCTTTCCTGAGTCCAGGCCCGTGATCTGTACATACACATCCATCGAATGTCTCTTCCTTTCGGCCTGGTAGTTGCGCAGTTCCTGCGCCAGTCTGCTGGGTTGCGGGCCCTTCTGTCTCTCGGCTGCCCATTTCCTTTGAACGGCATCCGGCACCCTCGTGCGTTTGGGTGCTTCTGGAATCCTGATTTCGGCAGATTCCTTGGGCGCTTCCTCCTTTTTCAAGGATTGAGCCTCCGGAGCGATGCTCTCCTTCTCGGTCTTTGTTGACGTGGTTCCTTCTCCACGAGCCATAAATACGTAGGAGTCCAAAATTAATTTATCCGCAGCTTTCTGATCCTTTTTACTCTGTAAATACTCTCTATTTAAAGCTATTTTCTTTTGACGTTCCTTTTCCATATCAGCAACAAGAAAATCATGAATATTAGTACGTAGGGAGTCTGAGATCGTGTATGCATGAGGAGAATCGTTCATATCTCTAATCGAAACAAGTATAGAAAAACGTCCATAGTCCGGACGCTCCACCTCCTTGGCTAGAGGAGTGGAGCGCTTCAAAAACCCTTCTCGCGCAGCTTCTCAGCGATCTCCTTGAGGAACTCGTTGTCCTTGTCCCCGTTCTCGATCTCTTCCAGCATCGTGGCCCGATTGAAGAATGTGCGCTTCTTCCTTGGCTCCGGACAGTTCCGCGCAATGTGCCCAGGCTGCTGACAGTTGTAGCAGATGATATTGCGGCCGCGGGCGTGGGTGCGATCGATTTCCATCGGAACTGGTTCGTTGGTAGCGGGTCGGGCCGGGGCGGGTGCAGGTGTCATTGGGGCTGCCTGTGGGCGGAATTGGGGAGGCGGTCGTGGTGCGGATTGCGCATGCGATGCTTTGCGCAGCTGATCGCGTAGAGCGTTCGCCTCGATGTTGACACACCAATTCTTGAAGGCACCATATGCCTTGGGCAGGGGGACGCCAGTGTTGTAGAGGCGGCTTGCAATTTCGCTGCTGAGTCCGCGCTCAAGGAACTCGATGAGGATGTTGTCCTGATCCCCCTTCTTGTACTCGCCCTTGTCATCGGTTGAGGCGACCACGTTGTACCCCGCGTCCGCAGCCAGCATTTCGAAGTCAGAGATGTAGTCCGCGAAGGACCGTCTCCCCTGGCAAAGGGCCATGAGTCGGGCGGCAGCGACTTGCTCTGCGTTAGAATCCCCAAAGGCCCTCTGAAGCTCCTCCAAGAAGCTTGTCGCGGTGACTCCCGCCTTTAGTCCTTGGAAGCCCTCGAAATTGTGCTGCTTCCAGTTCATCGCCCATCTTGAGGCGGCGCAGCTTGTGCCGCTCTCATTGCGGAGGTAGGACAGGACGAAGAGGATTTTCGTCTCGTCCAGCGAGAACTCTGACCGATAGGCACCGATGTAAGTGGTGCACGCATCCACAAAGCCCAGGTACTTGGACTTGTCGCCATCGAAGTAGGGGGGATTGGCGGCGAGGGTGATGCGGTGATGTCCTGACATGGTAGGAGCAGGTGCGGTAGGTGGGGGCGAGGGTGGTTGTTCGGAGGGTAACTCGTCAAGGTCGGGGAACTCGTCTTCAGGCGGCGGAAGGGCGAGGTAGGGGTTGGAGGGCCCGGGTTGGTTTTGATGCGCCAGATCGGGCGACGATGGTATGATGGGGGGAGGGGATGGACTCCCAGATGATGATGGGAATCGGTACGAAATGGTGGATTCGTGTGCTGTACAAGCACTCGAGGAAAGGTTCTTTTGCTAGCAAAAAGATCCCGGGCCTAGCTCTTCACGTGCCCGATGATCCCGAGGTGCGTTTTCCCGAAGGTCTCCGCAGCACTCCTTGTAGCTACCGTAAGGCTTGGGTCGGGCTCAACGTTACCCGTGGCCTGGTGCTGTTTGCTCGATATGAACCTTTCACTGCGATCGCAGCGAGCGACTAGATGATTCGGTAAAAGGGTGAGTGGGGTGGTAAGGGTGAAGAGGATATAGCGGGCGTAGCGGTGCGGGATGCAGGGTAAGAGGTATGAGGTAGGAGGGTATGAGGGGAGTCTTCGAATTATGTGACAATCAACCCAAAAATGAAGTCGAAAAGAGAAGTGAATTCGAAGACTGGGGAATACAACCAGGTAGCTACAGTATTTATACCCAAATCCAGTCTGAGTCATATCTACAACTAATGAGTCATAAGACTATGTACCGCATGGAACGCTGGTCATGGGTTGTACTAGAACCTTCCGGAGCATATGTCGCGCAGCCTCGAATCGATAGAGATAACCCCTGGAACCCCTAGCCCGGACCGTCTGATGCCGTGATCCGTGATAAGATAAGTCGTGCCAAGATAAGATAAGATCGTCGATGATAAGATGAAAAAGTGGTCGAACTATGACATCTTCAGTGCAAGGGCATTCATTCTCTGCTCGAAGAACTTATTAGACTTTGCTTTATTGAGTCTCGCCCTGCTGTCTATGCCAAGCGCCGCCTCCTTCTGTTTGAGAGATTCCTCAATGGACTCGAGATCCATCTTGGCTTCGAGGAGCGCTGACCGCGCCATCAGCCGGGAATGCTCCTCAGCCTCGGAAGCATTGTCCCAGGCTTCTTGAGCCTCTTCCACGCGCACGCGCGCGCACTTTTTCTCCTCGCGAAGCGCTAGCACCTCGTTGACCGCCTCAATCCCGAGGCGCTTGGAACGATCTGTCAATTCAGGGTGAGAGATGCACTAAACGGGCGTGGGGGCGGCATACTGGGATGCGGCTTTGTCTGTGCTTCCACTTGAAGATCCCATTGCTTGGCCAATGCATCGCGATCGAAGCCCTTTGTGGCAACATGGGCCAGGATGGCTTGAGCCATCTCGCGTTTCTCGTCGCTGAAAGCCTGCCGACGAGATATCCAAGCGCCCAATGTGCGAAGGCTGTTCTGTTCAATGAATTGGACTTGAGCATTCAATGTATACAATCAATGATAGGACTGCGGACTTGTGAGTTCTTGCGCAACTGCAACGAATGGAATCGACTTACCCCGGAGATACGGAGATGGCCAATCAGGCGACTGAGCTGATGCCACAGTCGCTCACATCCCTCACCACTAGTAAATCCCAGCCCCTCCCGTTTCCGAGGGTGATACCGAAGTTGACACTCCAGGCGGTGCACAAAGGCATGGAAGACCGCGACCGCAAAAACCATCCGGGTGATAAACGGGGCAAGGAAGCCCCACTTGTGCAGGGAGCGATGGAGTTGGCAGGCAATGTCATAGAGAATGGCCACCATCACATCGTCTGGGAGGTGCTGGAACAAGGTTTCGAGAAGGGCGAGAACGTAGAATTGCTTCTCTCCCTTTGACTTCATGTTTGCCATCCACAGAACGCGATCATGGCGACAGAGGAGCGCCATGACTCCAGTGTCATCAAATTCCCTGGCGTCAGATCTCATCCGGCTTTCATCTGCCGCTCTGAACAATTCCTCGCAGCCGTCCAGAACGGACTTGGGAACCTGCAAGCCCTCCTCGACGCGATCTTCCTCCTCATCCTCATTGTCCACCTGTTCCTTCGAGGGGGAGTAGGTCGAGGCATCCCTCCGGCAGCGTTTGTGGGCACGGGATTCTTGCGCAGGACCGCTACCTTGGACTTCATCAACATACTGCTCCATATCCTCGCAGGTCTGGGGGTTGAGGAAGACATTCCTGGGATGTGTCTTCGGTGGATCCATGTTTCCCGCCTCCCGCTAATGTGTGAAGCATGCGTCCGTGCACACACAAACATCCGCACTATAGAATGAATCAATCAGTATAGTCCATCACAGAATACGGGAGAAAGACTGACGTAGAACTTGGATCATGCTTGACATCCCCAAAGCATGCGGGGCAGCGGCGACGCAGATATTCCGAGGCCCGTGTCCGGTGCATTGGCGCACCAAATGGATTGGGATGGTCTAACGGCCGTTTGTGCTCGCCATGCCTGGTACCCGCCTCAGCGCGAGATGCCAAATGCTGGTCGTCTTTCACGGCAGGACCAACCAGGTCGCGACGAACTTTCTCCTGCTGCTCGTCAACCTCTGCATCCACCACGTTACGCAGATGCAGATACCACTCCAGTGCCGACGCAAAAGAGCGTCGCAACGATCCCTTCAGCACACATCAGATTTGACATTACTGACAAGCAACTGACGCACCTCATGGTCTAACTGGAATCCCAAGCCTCGGAGGAAGGATTCCAGCGCTGTTGTCCATGCAGTGTTGTTTGGCGAAGTGCGAAGAAACACTTCTCGAGTCAACTCCAGTACATGGAGATCCACCGCAAATGACGGCAGCAATGGTGACGAGGGAAACGACCCTGAGCGCAGCAACTGCTCTGCCGCCAGGACACATTGACAAACATCGATCTCGACGTCTTGGATCTCTGTCGGGAGAGTTGATCAATCAAAATACTTTTGAAAGGAGCAGAGGGATGTACCGTGCATTCGCCAAACCAAGACCTTACAAAGCCGGGTCGAAGCGCAGGTGCAGATTCGACGACACAGTCTTGGAAGATCCTGAAGGCGCTGGAGGCCCCTCGTCAAAAAGAAGACATCGCTGAATATTGGAACGAGGCGGGGGATGATTTTGTCCTGCCAGGCCTTCCACGCCTGATGGGTGGCCCGGTGATGACGTGAAGTTTCGAAGTCGGGGTTCATGAAGGGGGTGACAATAGGCGATAGATTGAATTCGGAGTTGGAAGGTGGAGATGGCGATAACGGCGACGCGCCCAGAAGAGGTGATGCGCCCAACCTTGTCGGAGTTGGTGGAACAACAAACGATTGCCTCGGCGTTGACGGGTTGGATGTTGAATGGGCGGGAAGATAAGACACGGGGACGATAGTGACGAGTTTGTAGGGACGGGTGTGCTGGGACGTTTCGCGGAGCTGGGTTCCGCATCCTCTGCTGCAGACTTTTTAGGCAGAGCGACACGCACTGCCTTCTTTGTCTTTCCTGCTAGGCGGAATACAGGCTGGAATTTGTGCAAGTTCTTGCCCAGGCTGCGTTTCCTGGGTTTCGCGTCCACGAGAGATGTAGAGGACACGATTGGCGCGTGTTTCGTCCTCTCGTTGAATCGTCCAGGCATTTCAAGGGAGCTGGGACTTGAATAAGACGCATACGTGAGCTTTCGGATTCTACACTCACCCAGCGGCACACCGCTATGGCCGCTTGAAGCAAAAGGGACACGTGACTGGTGATATTTGCGGACCACAATTCAGCCAAGCGTTGATGGTAGCAGCGGTGGCTGTGCTGTCAATCAGGTGGCTGTACCGTGCCAGACATCCAGAAACAAGTCTATGTATGCAGGACTGATGTGCGAAAGTAAGTTTATAGTTCAATCTTGCGCCCCGGACTCACTGTAAAGAATGTTTTTTGACTCTCCCATTCAATGATAAAGACTGTATATGAAAAAAACGATCCTACTTCTGAATTCTGTACCGAGGCGCATAAGTGGAGGAAATGGTCGTGACCAACTCGGGACCTGGAGATGGTCACGACCAACTCTCCACTGACAGGTGGTCGCAACCATATGGCACATCGATGATGCGTCTTCAAAGTTTGCTCGCTGGTGCCTTCCAGCGCCATTCATGTTACGGATCTCTATTTCATGTCAATTATAAGGGCCACATAGGCTGAATGTCGTATTCTCCGTTGCCTGGTCGCATAACGTAACCCAATCCCTCCATCCCTACCAGGACAGGAACTTCGTCATGTTCTCCTACAGTGCGCGCCTCAAGACCAGTGGCCCAGTGCTCAATCTCGTACGCAAGTTTTTCGGCTTGAGTAGGATACCCAAGTGGCCAGGTGAACTTATAAAGGGATTGTTGCATGCGCAACTCAGTGTGAAAGTGAATGGAGAAGACAGATGTTTTCATTGCCTCGACTTTCATGATTGCGCGGCGGAGCTCATCATGGTAGTCTTGTAGATCCAGTCCAATACCTAAGTCCTGAAAATGCATGTCAGATCTGTCGAGGTGCAAACAGGGTCAAATGCTCAGATTCACCGCGTCCAAAGACAGTATAGCCCACCAGGTGCATCTTATTCTCACTTGAACTTCGCTTAGACCGCCCCACCAATCAACAGGCTGATCTAAGTCCATACAGCAACTTGTTTCAATCGACTGGTGCCCATCGGGTGCTCGGGACTCGACAATGTTTGCCCACTCATGGACACGAAACGCAACAAACTCTGCGTGCGTTGGCAAGCCCTGGGGCCAGATGACATCCTGAAGAGTTTGGCCGCCAGTGAGCACAGAATCGGGAGCGATGGTGTCCGTCGCAGTGAACATGCTGGAGAACTTGTCCAGACCGCGATAGAGGGCTTTTCGGAAGAAGCGGAAGTTGGCACACTCGTCGGGCTCCTGCATACTTTTGGTCTCATTCAATGCGAAAGGTTACAGAGGTCTGCCGTGTACCTCATCTTTCATGATGCACGCCCAGTTTCTTTCACAGAGAATCAATCGATGGTCTGTCCACCCAGGAGCTGCATCAAACCCGTAGAAAGAGCCCATTGTGACTATAGCGCCCTGCGGTAAAGTAGCGAAATGGTTGAGGCCAAGACACAAATGCGTTGTATGTGTTTGACGAGGCAAAACGCCTCATCTTGATGGTATTGATCAGGGCGGTGCAGATAAGATTGCTATTACATGAAGATCTCCCGCCCACATTCCATCTTACACTTGGAGGGCCAGATTCAAACTTTGTTCATAAAATGGCATGTACATCAGAGACAACAAGCGCTGGCAAGCATGAGTCACTTAGAGAAGGCCTATGGTTTTACAGGTAGTAGAATCATACATACTTCCACATGTGATATATTGAGAATCATCAGCAATATAATAAACAAGAGATCTGAGATAACTTATGTTTATTTCACTACAAGCTCCAATGGATGAGTGGTAAGCCTTTCCTTTGTCATGAGACGTTCTCCTCTGGCATCTTGAGGTAGGTCATCCATTCGAACTACGGTGGAAGATCCTTTTTTGCCTTGACTGATTTCTTTTGTTGACTGGTCGCAACCAACTTGTGGGCAAAACCAGTGTCACACTAGTTCATAAATGATATCGACACTCATTGTATGACCAGAT